TTATTTTTTAGTTCCTGGAATTCGGAAGAGAACGTTTGGTAAATACCAATTGACCACTTTGGGCTCGTGTATTTGGATTGGACCTCCTCGCTGTCCACTGTAATTCCGAAAAAAAAAACATTAACAATGGAACCGGTAATAACTTCAGGACTGTCTTATATATTCTTTTCCTCTTAGATTTGCTTGGTTTCAAGGATGAAGAAGGTTACAAGGCCAATCATGTCAACGTCGTTGAATCGGATCCAGAATGGAGATCAGGTGGAACAACATTACAAGGCCAAAGCACACAACGGTTTATCAAGGCTGAGCCAATCAGAGTGGATCCTTCAAAGAAGATTGAGTTGGTTCTCAGGCTTGTGGCAAGGTAACACTTAAGTATGCGTTTTGAGGGCAAGTGAACTGTTTCAAAGTATTTGATGCATTAATAGTTTTAATTTAGATCTGCTACGGTCCGGAAGATAGTTTTTTAAGCTTTACTCTAATTAATAATCAATCATGGTTAACTTTTCGCGGACACTTTGCATGGTTAACGACCGTATGGACAAAAATCACCTCGCTAGGGATCAAATTTACGCCTTTTTCATCCAAAACAATCGATGGAAAGCAACCTTATTTTTATTTTTTTCTGTTTTGGGTGTCACATTGTGCAACTTGTTCTCCAACAAGCTTCTTTTGAACCATAGGGATCGCTCACTGTAAAGAGCCTTTTCTCACTCTTCCTTTGCGGGCCAACAAGCCTCTCAACTAAGGCTAAACACCAAAATTTATTGAACCAGCTTGGCTAGTATTTTCATGTTGGGTATCGTGAAGGGGTCCAAAGATACAAGATGAGCTTCCGATGTCGTTTTGTTGTGTTATCTAAAGCAATTTGTTTCCTTTTTGGGTATTTCTTTGTTTTCAGAGAGGGAGAAGAAGGTCTCAAATTCCCCGAAGGCAAGTGCACTCCGTTGTCAACTCTGATTCCACCAGCTGTCCAAGAGTAGAGCATAGACTGGGTCGGTGTCTATGCAATGATTGACTGTTAGATAGCTTTAGATAGAGTAACCTACAGAGTGACAACTGGATTCACTTTGACGAAATTATGTCTAAACTGGATAGTTGTGAAAATAAACCACATCGCGCTGATTTTGTACGACCACCTGGTTA